GCGAGCCCCAGCCTGGCAGCAGGTGGGCCGGCTCCTGTAGAACCCGCTCTGGCGTGCAGTCAGCATGGGAAGCGTAGGCTTGTTGTCCACTGGAGAGAGAACTGTTTACAGTTAATCTGTGTCTAATTAGTCACCTGATTTTTTTAACGGTCTTGTGGTCTTTTTACCTGTCCCGTCCCCGCCCCCGAAGGCCCCTTGGGAAGACTGGTGCCCCTGCTCGTCCCCGCCCCCACCCAGTCAATCAGGTTGAGTTTTGTATGTATCTGTTAATGCTTGTTGCTTTTAACTAATCAGATCTTTTTACAGTATCCATTTATTATGTAATGCTTCTTAGAAAAGAATCTTATAGTACATGTTAATATATGCACCAATTAAAATGTATAAATTAGTGTAAGAAACCCTTCATGACGTGTTCAAGTCCTGTGACAGGCGTGGAAGGCGGAGGGTTGGACCCCGCCCGGATGGCAGGGTTGGCAACCCAGATGCAACATCCAGCGATCGGCAGTATTGTGTACAGCAGACCCGAGCAACGTGCGCCTCTTCTCAGAGATTTGAGCCGGAAAGCTTGCACCTCCAGGGGAGCTGCCTGGTTGATTTGCATAATCCTGCGGTGTGTGCAATGGACCCCTGGCTGTTATCTCCAGAACTGAACCCACTCCCTTTTCAGTTCTCCACCCCCACCTCCCAGCTTCACACCAGAACTCCTGTTAGATCAGCCTCCCCTGTCCGAGGCAAGGACCAGGCAAGGCCCAGCCATCTGTCCCGGTGTCCTCCCTCCATCCTAGAAGGCAGTCCCTGCAGTCTTCCTCTAGTCCCTCTCTGTCCCCGCCCTGGGCCCGCCTGGAGCCCTGGCCGGAGCGCGCCTCGCCAGAGGTCTCCGTGCTAGGTGTAGGCTGAGTTCTCCTGTAAAGAGATGAACGCGATGCCAATAAAATGTAACAAGAACAAAGCACGCAGCCTCTGCCCTGTCCTTCCTTCTGCAGACCCTCGGCTCTCCAACACTTGGGGCCCTGGCACCAGGCTCCAGGGGCACCTTTTGGTGCCTGTCCTCAGGTGTTCAGGGCAGTTTCTAACCCCAGACTGGGTGTGAGGACCCTGAGTGGGGCCAGTGTCTTACCTTTGGAGGAGCGGCACAAACTGCTGGTGGCTGGGGCCATGCCCTGCCTGTGGGTGTCACTGTCACCCGATTGCGTGGCTAACACTCGTGTCACGTGACAGGAAGACTGAGCAGCAAAGCTTCTGACCTCAGTGTGTGTCAGCCGCCAGCTGGACCTGAATAGATGCCACTGAACGACTTCAGGCAAGCGCTGATGGGTCATCCAGTGGGTCTGTCTACGGTTTGTGGGCATGCCTGCTGGCCTAGCCCTTGAGTTCTTCCTGGATGTGACTACTTCTCAGGTTCCTAGTTGTATCTTTGAAAAATACCATTCTAGTTGGGTGTGGTGGTGCACACCTGTAATCCCAGCACTCAGGAGGCTGAGGCAGGAGGATCACCATGAGTTCAAGGCCAGCCTGGGCTGGCTGGGCTACACACTGAGTCCAAAGCTAGCCTGAATTGCATAGTGAGACCCTGTCTCAAAAGAAAAGAATGAGAAAATGCCCTTCTGCCTGGTCCCATGGTACATATTTGTAGTCCCTGTTACTTGAGAGGCTGAGACAGGAGCATCACTTGACCTCAGGACTTGGAGGCTCAGCCAGTGCAAATAACACATCCCAAAATTTAAAAAATAATGGGCTCAGGAGGTAGCTCTGTCAAAAGGGACGGGGTTTAATCCCCACTACCAGGAAGAAAGAAAAATCTCTAAGGCATTCTGACGCATAGCTAGTATTCAACTGGTCTAAATGTGTCTCAGGAGTACAAGGCCCTTCCAGAGGCAGAAGATACAGCCCACACTGCATCTTGTGTGACCCACTTTCTCTGCACACAATCCCAAATTGGAAGGTACAGCCCCAAGTCCAAGCTTCTGGCTTCTCTGTGAGAAACCTAGAGGAGAACCCCCACCCTGCGATTCCCTTCCTGAGTGTTTC